AGGGATAGTAATTGAGTTGGAATTTTTATCATTTTACTAATTTCTGCTTGTTTTAACGGGAAAAAAATGCTTTTGTGTGAAACAAATCACATTTCAATTGCTGTGAGTCTGCAGATTCATAAACTAAGTTTTAAAAATGTCTAGCCTCACATAACATTAGTCGTACATATATCAATCAAGATTAATACCAGTTTGGCCAGTTTCAGTAAACAATTTATGACAACCAAGCTGGTGATCTGGTACTTATGTTTACAGTTTACTGGCTACTGTAAGAGCCAGATAGAATGGTGGCTACACACAAAATCAGGATAGTCTCCCACTAACCACACTGCAGAGCCAAGTCACGACAATCAATATGTACACACTCCGCCTCATCAAATGATGCATGAAAGTATAGCCACAGGATAATAGCTACGGAATATAAGAACAGAATAGCTGAAGTGTGAAATAACATGTAAGTTAGAATACTATGAGCCATTACTGCAGAAACATTTGAAGAATGTCATGAATTCTGCAGGCCCTTGACTGTGGAAGCATGTGGCCGCCAGACACAGAGATTATCTGTAGTTTCTGTTTATGGTGACCGGTTGTCTGGTAATTGGAGGGGAATGATTCAACCCTGATAAGCGGAGAACTAACAGGTCCCCACCCCCCACCCTCACCCCCAGGGCTTGCTGATTGATACAGGTGTCATGTTTACACAGCGCAGTTGTGTTTCTTGAAGATTTTTTATTGACCTTATTGTTTTAGATGATATGAATAAGGCCACACTTTTTAAATTTTGTTTCACAGATTTATTCCAGCTTTTCAACACAAGGTCAGTCGACATGGAAAAAAATAGCTATGTCAATCATTTTCGTTCTGACATGGTGTTAAAACTGCGGCTGGCTTCTTGAATCACTGATAGTGATGCAGACATGGGATTTATGATAACATTTTATATAAGAGGGTCTATGTTACTAGCTTGAGACATAATAAAAAATATATATTTTTATGTTTAATTTATTTCATTTCCAGCTGCTTTTCAGTAGGGACAGCAGGCCTGTGATGTGTGTGTTTTTAAGTTTTAAAGTAGGCTGAGTAGGCTAATTTCCAGTCCTCGGTCCTGGGCTGCCCTCTCTAGTTGTTTCCAAAGCAAGAAATAAATAGTTCTATCTTTATGAAGAGTTAACTAGACCCAATGACCTAATAAAAACTGTATTTGAGTAAATAATTAGGTTACAGTTTTCCACCTCATTGACAAATCACCCACAGTGTTCATGATGGGGACGAATGTTTACAGTTGTCGCTTCATGTTCTATCTGCACTATATTGTGTCATGAGTGAATATTGAGTAAGGTGTCAGGCTTTGGTGAATACATGTATTGTACACAAACTGTATTGTGTTGCCCAGAGGAATGTCGACACACCTCTCGCCAGGAAAATAGACCATATGAAAGGGCCTTTGTGATCCTTCCTCTTAGATCAGGGGCAGGGTCAAAGGTTATGCAGTGTGAGGTCATAGCAGACCAGGCTATGTAGTTGGCTGAGCATGAATCCCACGGATGGGAGTGTAGGTATGGCAAACACACATAACACAAACGGGAAATGAAACTACGTCAATTTGATTTATTAATATGCTCATTATTGTTGCAACTATTTTGAGCTGTGGTGTGTTCTCTCCCTAAACAACATGTTCTCAAACAGCATAACACAGGATAATCTTCATGTATAAGTTAAGTCAAGAAGGAAGTTTGTAGGACAATGCTATACACAATTATATTTTAATCAGAGAATTCACCACACTGTGTCGGTACATTAACCACAAATAGCATCAGCTGTGCACAGTGGTTTGTGTTGCCCATACTTAAAATCACATTCACAATTTAATCAAAATCACATTCACAATTTAATCATACTGGAAGGTTCAAGGACAACAGAGGAAAACGTGCTGCTGAATTTGTAATTAATTGTTAGACAAGCTAAACTTGACAAGGATCATGCTTATTCAATCACTGGCCCTAAATAAGGACAAACATCATGAAAGACCTCTTGAAAGACCTGACACTATTATGAGTGAAAGTACGTGATATGATTCATGTATTATAGAAAGTGAAAGTGCCCAGATGGTGACCTAATCGTACAGGGGAATTTCATGCAGTAAGGATGTCTGCTTTAGTTACATTTCTCTGTGAAGATCCAGATAAAAAAACGATCATCAGCGATCCATCCTTGTCCCAGTGGCACAGGATTGGGGGGGGGGGCAGGTTTGCTGATTCGGTGGATGCTTGTCATATCCTAGTTGTGTAGATCATAGGAGTTGACATCCATAAATTTTCTTTTAAACTACCACCGTGGTAGAGCATTCACCTGGAGAGTGGAAGGGCAGTGGTTCCATTCCGGCCATGTCACACCAAACGCGTTAGAATATGGTACTTGTTGTTACCCTGTCGGGCACTCCTCATAAAGGGGCTAAAATAAGGACTAGTCGGTAGAAATCAACATCCAGTTTGTCAACTGCAGTGCAGATTTTGGTTGATTCCATGACTTGTTAAGCATGTGTACGTCAACTTGGGGTCAACAGATATTTTCCAAAATGCTTTCGTGTTTCTTATCAAGTGTGCTCATGTGATTTAATGCAAAGTAAGACATGTTTTATTACAATATAGATCTTGATTATCGATCTGATCATCTTGATTTGGCGCTGCCATTTTGTGTGAAGGAAATGCAAGTGATAAGGGAGGTTGAATCTGATTGGTCAGTACCAGGGACATAGAAAGGATATAACTGGTAATAGCCACTGGTGGCTCTGCAATCGAGCCAAGAAATTCCAGCCTTGTTCAACAAGGGTGGAAACTGGACTTTTACAGTCTGTTAACTCCCTTTCCTAAGGAAGATAAACATAGCAATGAACCTGAGAAATGAGAGACCTATATTACTCATTACCTGGGACAGGACTATATGCAAGTGGTGCGCCCGAAAAGTGCACCGCATGCTGAAGGCTGTGTATATATAGCAATGTACATATTGCACTGGTTCCAAATAGACACTCAGAGGTTTAGCTGAAACATGATCTCATTCCTACCTGCCGAGCTGCCATGCTGGGCGGGACATGACGTCATGGCACTGTCATGTTCTGTTCATTTTCATACCTCTGTGTGAATGTGTTGATGTGTGGAGTTTCACTATTGCAAGTTCTAGAAGTTTATGTTCTGTTATCTATAAACAATCCAGTTTATTGAGTCAAGTTGAGTCAAGTTACACCAATCTCTGAAGACAAAATATTGGTCTGTAAATTTAATTCCCAACATAGATATGATACATGAGTTGCACATTTAACTGGGTCCCATTAATTGGCAAGCCATGACCAATCATATTTTTTTTATATCCCCCCCCCACTTATTTTTTGTCACAAAAATCCATAAACCGAAAAAAAAAAATGTCTAGCCCGATAAAAATATGGAACTGTCTTGTTTCTTCTCATCAATGCTCGTCAATATTCCTGACTACATGCCTTCGTATCTAATAAAACTTTTGTGCTTACATTTGACGCGGTAGTCAACCATCTGTTTTTCAATATACATGTGGTACATATGGTGGTAGAAGTAGGTAGGGAGACACTTATTTAGGATTATACTGCCTTAAGCTATGGAAATACTTCAGAGTCAACATATAGCAGCTGGCGCCAGATGCATCAACCAAAGGGTGTCTGAGAATGGTAGAGTCTGCAGACAAGCAATGTAGTGGAACAGTCTTGTGACTGGCAGGTCATGACAATTACGAATATTTATTAGTGGAAAGATAACAAAGGGATGATTGTTGGTGATGATGAATTACTTTGTAGGAGGTGGAATTATTATTCAAATATTACAAAAAGTATATGAAAGTGTCAACATTGTAATTTGTGGGAGACATGTTGGTATATATTCATGTTTCACCTTCAGGGATAAGGAGATGTGATGAAAAATACACTGAAGCAGCTTGTATACATATGGACTGTGTTTAATGGCCACCAACTCAATGTGCCCTTCTAGGATACATGGGGCATGTGGGTGACCCAGACATCTTGGGTATCTCAATCTTCTCTGCAGAGTTGCCTCTCTTAGATGTGCTGGATCTTGGGTTCTAATCCTATAATCATCATAATTATGTGGTTAGGTTTGTCAGCAATAAACTCAAGTCATGGATTTCATCAAAGTGGAAAATGTCTAAGACCTGCATTATTTCAGGTTTTCCTCCAGAATTAAGCATTAAATCAAACACTCACTCACTCTAAGATATATCCATTCTGTGTGTCCCTTGCCTCACCCATTAACATAAAGCCGTGCTTCTTTTATGTTGTGGATCAACCAAACAAACGAAAAGCTTCCAATCTTCAAATTTGTATAAATAGTTAAAGGTTTCGTATTTGTATTTAAGACAGAAAGTAATTTAGATGCTCAAATTTATTTTCAGAAACAACAATTAGGTATGGTGGATTTACATGTATTACTTGTATACACATTTTCCTATACACACTGGGCATTTCAATATTGCATGGAATTCTTTTTAACATGTTTAACATTATGTTATCATTTTGTCTTTTGAGAATTTCAAACAGGCTTCATGTCAGGCTTTAAGGGAGGAACATCCTCCATAGCACTCTTGGGTCATTAAAAGTCTATTTCTAATGGTCATATTTAGTGTTTCCGTGAAAATGGGACATGTAATTAGGGTAGTTATTGACTGATATGTTGATATACATAATACAATGTGCTTTGACGATAAACAAACTGTTTTGGAAACGTTGCTAGGACACTTATTGTCCCAACGCCAAGGCTTGTGTCCCTTTTACCATGTTAACAATCCCAGATGTCGCCTACTTGAGGAGATAGGTATTGCCCAGGCTATGGATGTTACCTTCAGGCAGAAGAGCTACCAAAGATGGAGCTACTGTTATTATTGACTGGTCTCATTAAGAAATGTCTTTTTTTCTGATTTCACATTTTCAGTCAATTTACGAAAGCTGTTTCTCTGTGCAGGTCCAGCCAAACAGTGTGGCTGAGCAGTGTGGCCTTCTGGCAGGGGACGCCATCTTGAGAATCAACGCTGAAAACACAGACAACTTGACACATGAAAATGCCAAAATGGAAATAGTGCGCTCAGGGAATAACATCGACATGCTCGTTGCCAGGTATGCTGGAGATCTGCTTGATATATAGCAGACACTTGAATGATATTAGGAAATGAAGGTCAGCAGAGAGTGTTATTGCTGTGTGCTATGATGCCTTCATCAGGGGTCTGGGTCAGCATGGATGCCCATGGCCACGAGAGTGGCTGGAATGGGGATCCGATGGTTACAATGTCTACTGAGTGTGGACAATCACGGATGCCAGTAAGAGCACATGTGGCCTGAAGATACATGCACAGTGATGAGGCTGTGATATAATGGTGCTATTGCAATGCTATGTGATGTGCTATAAGTGATCTCAACAACAACATCTATTCACAGTTCCCTATGTTAAAAGTTTTAACTTAAAACTTGTACTTTTGGCAAAAGAACATTCTCATACACTGCAGCATCTCAGTGGAACAATGTGCCTGAAACTCTTAAATCTGCAAATCTCATCTTAAGACATTTCTGTTTCAACAGTCTTCAGTTGCTAAAGCTCACAGAGCATATTTATTTTGTGAATTGTTGCACTCTTTAAATGCATGTATTATTGTTATTATTGTTATTATTATTGTATTCATGATGGTAATAATCATAATATACATTATACATTCAAAGGCAAGACCAACTGAATTCTTGTTTCATGGACAAATCTACTTTACCTTTTGCAAAAAAAATAAAACTTGGAGAGTTTTTATGAACTTAAAGTCAACCCCAAACACATTAATTTTGCATTCTCCCATGAAACTAGAACATAGTTTCCCTGGCCTAATACACAGTATATCATGGTGATTGTGAGGCTGTGCTACATAATATGCCAGCGATGATGATGGTATCATACATAATGCAGTGATGATGCAACGATGATGCAGTGAGGATATATATATATGCTACCTGACAACTGCTTATATGTTGCAGGGGGGCGGTCAAGATCTGGAAGCCACAAGTCACACCACTGTCCTCACTCCGACCAGCCGAACTCAAACCGATTGTATCAGCAACAGGAGAAGAGTTTGTTCCTGTACAGAAGACGTCCCTCGTCATGAACAAGCCCGAGTCTGTAAGGATGTGATGGTTTCTAGCAGGCAGAGCTAAATAGGGTCATTGTGGCATCTCTTTCAGAGCTTGAGATAAGCTTTTGTTAGTTTTGGTACCCATGGGTTTGATTTTGATTTGGTATCCACAATCTTTAGATACTGGTATTCAGTTATTTTTTTTACACATCTATTTTCTTGATATTTGCGTGTTTTCACTTGAGAAGCTGTTTAATAACAATTCCTGCAAATCATTCGGTAAATTTTGTTTTGACCTGTCTTGCTCTGCTTGAAATGACCTCTCAAGGAAGCTGTTTTTTCAAAACCTTGCATTGTGGTCATTGGACACTATTTTTAGAAGCACCAATCAGTGTTTAAGATACACTAGGCACCACATGCTTTTCAATTGGAATGTATCTGTGTTGGAGTTTGTTTGTCGCACATTTAACCAAATATAACTGTCAGTAAATGAATTTCGCAAACAGTAGATACGCAATCATTTTATCTAACAGTCGTTATATATTCTCTGGATTTATTTCAATGGCATATTTATAGTTTTTGTTGAGTATTTTGATATGCTAGGATTTTATTTGCCGGTGTATTTAAGTTTATTTAATGCGTATTTCACTTGAAGAGTGAAAATATATATTCTTTGTCCTTGTGCTGTTGTTGCAATAGTAAACAGTCATGTTTGACAACTGTTGTTTTTATGCTTATAAACAAAACATGGAAGTTTGAATAACAAACATTTTCAAACCCAAAACTGGACATGATTAGGAAGCATAAAATATTAAGCTAAAAAATTATTCCGGGATTTCTCAGGCCCCATATCAGTTCAGGGCTCATAGTGAAAACATTACGTTTCCACTGTACACAAGGACTGAAGTTTTCACCCCATGGATGCAAGGAAATAAGCTGCTTACACAGACAACTTTTTTCTCTTTCTTAAACTTCCTTTCACACTGCTGGATACAGCTAATATATTTCTACAGCATAAAACCCCATTCAACCACTCGTCCACTTGCAGTCATGTTTCTGGTTCGGATTTGTCTATTGTATTCAACATGTTAAGCCGCCTGCTCCAATAACCATGCCAACTTATTTTGAACCCAACTTATATGAAGAAAACAGGTTGAAATTTACTCCCTGCATGCGGTTATACTCGCTGGTATTTTCTTATTATATTTTTTAATTCAGAACAAATAGCAAGCACCCACCATAGTCTTCAGTTAGCACCAACCATTTGAAACTATTTGTTAAACCTTCCCCCCCCCCCCCCCAGCATATAATACGGGGGATATAGTCAATGCCTTGACCCTCCATCCATCTGTCTGTCTGTCCATAATCATTTTGTTTCCAGAACGTAACTCGAAACATGTTCAATATTTTTCAACAAAAATTTGGAGATATATCAAACAGATCCTGAAGTGGTGCTATTTGCGGATATTGGGCATTTTCATTTTTCTCGATTTCCAAGTTAGGCTTTGCTGAAATGGAGGTAGTTGTCGTTTCTGGAGAAGAACTAAAACACTATTTAACATTTTTCATCCAAACTTGGTACATGTATTTATCAAGGCCTGGAGTGTGGTGCCTTTTGCTATTTAGGAATTTGAAAAATAGGAATTTTTCCTGTTTCCATGGCAACAAGTTTGACTTGATTCATGTAGTGATGAAGAATGGTCGATTGTGTTCCAGGAACCATGCAGAATAGGCAGCACTCACAATCGGGCAGCGAAGCCATTCGGCGCTGCAGCAGCAGGTTCCACCAAGAGTGCAACGCCAAATGTCGTCCATTCACAGTATAACACTCCCATTGGGCTGTACTCCGCGGGCAACATCGCCTCCACCTACTCTTCACAGACGGCTGGTATACAACGCGAGATGGAGAAGTGAGTGTCAAAAATAAATACTGAACCTTAATATGAGCTTAGCTGGACCCTGGGGACCGGGCAGATAAAGTTACTCACTAGGGTATCTGGTGGTCAGGCTTGGTGACCTTGTTGATTGGTGTCATTGTATTCCCATAGATGAGATGTTGCTCATGATATCAGTCACTAGTTGGTCAGGCCTGGCCGTCATTATTTCAGACTGACATGATACATCCTGAATCTTGTTGACTGCAGCATAACACACCAAACACAACTAATCATACAATCGTCTTTAGTCATGTGGAGGAGTCAAGTGGTTAGTGTGTATGCATGTTGATGACAAGTATCAGGTTTGACTCCATGTATGAGAACAATATGTGAAGTGTAATCTTGTGCCAGAAACCTATTATCACAGATTCGCACTGATTAATGTTTCTTGGTTTGTCATCACCATACCCGTTCTCGTGAGTTTGGTCTTATTCAATCAAGCACATAATTGGTTTATTTTTATCCCCCAGTTTGAAAAATGGGGGGATATAGCGATCACCATGCTAGTCCGTCCGACAGATGTCTGTTTTCTGTTACCGAGCAGAACTCCAAAACCGTTAAATATTTCTTGTTGAAACTTTCTATAGATCAGTCTAGTGGTGAACTGGTGCCTTTTGATGATTTGGGATTTTGAAAAATACTGAACAGCATTATTTTTTTCTTCATTGAACAGCAGGTATCCAATGGCAATGAACCAAAAGTGGGGTATAAGTGGATTTCTTCTGATGACTCTTGTTTACATTAGCTTAGGGTAGGCTAATACATCTGGGGTGTGGAGGGGTATTAATTCACAACCCAGGATAGACATATTTTGAGGAGGGCATGTCATGTGGTTGTCAGAAGACTCTTTAAGTGAAATAATGATGAGTCAATTTTGATTTTAACCTTGCGAGTCTGGAGTTTGATAACATCAAGGGGTGTCAGTGTTGGTTAGGTCAAGTACTGAATATCACACAAACCTGACCAAAACAGCACACCCTGAAATAATTGTTTCCTGTGCATCAAAGGCATAGTCTTCATAAGTTGGGAGTTTGTGTTGGTGCATAATTGTATACAATTTAACCTTGACAATCTGGTTCCATTGCAAGTGTAATCGTCCAGATTAACAAATTTTCGGATTAATGAATCAGGATTAAATGTAACCATTCCCAACAATAATCATCTGGACACCAGGGGCTCTGGGCAAACAGGTGCTAATCACTGAGGTTTGACTGAAAACATCGATAAACACGATGAAGTAATAATTAGCAAATACAAATATTATAGAAAAAACACTGCCATTATCAAGCTAACAAATACTTATATGAAACATTTAAAACAAAATGGGTTGCTCTGGGTTGGATATTTATATTTATTTATTTTTTTGTATTTATATTCTTGGTTATGGGTCAATGGTATCAAAATTACATTGAATTTCCTTTTTTTTTTAAAGGTTCTTAATGGCTCATTAAAAGAGAATTAACTGTTGATTTGTCATGTACAGGAACATTCCACACAGAACTTGCCTTTCATTTCATTTTTTATTGCATTATTACTATCATATATTTTTGGAGAATCAACTTCAAAAGAGTATTTGTCATTTTGACCACCGACCATGTGGTTTCCAAAAAGAGAATCTATAACCAAATGATACAAAAAAAGAACCAAATAGACTCAATATGAATTGCCTTACTGTACTAGATTGGAGATATTTGTGAAGATAAATCACATCTATGATTGGCTATGCAAAATGTGTGACATGGAATTGCTTCTGTAGAAGTTTGTCATAGCAATAGAAGAATTTTAGTGTTGGAGTTTAGGATGAGGTATTAAATTCATCATCATCATTCCTCTTTGCTCATCCTCTGTGCTTTACATCTGCCCTATATAACACAAACCAGGTTATTAATGGAGCACATTATAACAGGTGGATCAATCATTGCTGTTTGTACACTCTGGTTGTGTCACCTGTGTGGTATATAATACATACAGATATTGATTGCTTGACTGGATGTGGTAGAAACTCCGCGTATATTGATGACTCATCAGTTTGTGTTGACATTAGGGTGTGGTTGCTCTGGGTGACTTAGCCTGCTCCATACAGAAGGGACATGGGCAAATATTGTCACAATAGGAATGATATCATGTAGGAAGCTGGGTGGGTGGGTACAGGCATATGGGAATGCCTTTGAATTGTCAGGTGTCTTTTGAAATCGTTTAATATTATCATGATAAAAAAATATTGTAAATTATTTCAATGAACAATTGACAACACATTGTTGTATGTAAAGTTTCAAAGGAAAAAGTGATTGCAACATTTTTGCAAATATTTAGCATAATTAATGAATCGGGATGAATTTGAATATCATTATGAAATGCAAATAAGATGGGGTTTATTTAGTATTTCCACTGCTGTTAAGGAAAGGTGTGTGTTTGGGCAAGAGCCAGCAAACGCGACATGCCACATTTCCCCTAAATGGTGCCCCCATGGTTACATGGGTACAACCTTTGGATCTGTGAATCTATTTTCTGGTATCACCTGCTGTGAATTGGTTTGGGACCATACACAAATGCTCATTATTGGAGACCTGGTTAAAATTGGTCTTCAGCAACCCATGCTTGCCGTAAAAGGCGACTATGCTTGTTGTAAGAGGCGACTAACGGGATTGGGTGGTTAGGCTTGCTGACTTGGTTGAGGCATGTTATCACATCCCAACTGCATAGATTGATGCTCATGACATCAATCATTAGATTGTCTGGTCTAGACTTGATTATTTGCAGACCACTGTGATATAGCAGGAATATTGTTGTGCAGTGTTTTACAACAAACAAACACACATTATTTTTTTACCAGGCATGGCATCTATTTGTGGGGCTGCCAATATTTCTTCACTGCTCCATGACCAGATCAGTTCTGGATACGACCTCTACTTTTTGCCATCATTAGAGACCTGGGCCCTGTTTCACAGAGCAACTTAGTGCTATGACTATCATTACGCCTATACTTTAACACAGACATACGAGGGTCGTAGCACTACGAGGGCTCTTTGTAGAAGTAGAAGTAGAGCCCAGGTATCTGCTAAATGTAATACAGTGTGTGGGGAAAAAAGTATAATAATTTTTATCATTCCCCCTCCCCCCTACCCCTCCACCCCCCCTCCTTCCCCCTCTGCATCTCAGCAGCATGGATGATTCTGATGTTTGTGCTCTGTACTTGTCCCAGGTTGGATGTGAGTGAGTCTGATGTGGGGTCGAGGATGACTGGGACCTACCAACCCGTGACTAAGGATCAGCCAGGTCAGGAGAGTGCACGCTACCAGGAGACAGAGGAGGGCCAGGAACCCGAATATAAGGGCTACACTAACCCGCATGTTCAATCACGCACGTTCAAAGCCCTGCAGGATAACTTAGAACAGCAGGGCGAGATGCCACGTATGTGTTGGTTTGCATGTTTCACTACCCCTGTCAGTGCTCTCACACAGAAACACCCATATGATTCTATCTGAAACACCCATATGATTCTATCTGAAACACCCATATGAATCTATCTAAAACACCCATATGATTCAATCTGAAACACCCATACGATTCAATCTGAAACACCCATATGATTCTATCTGAAACACCCAAATGATTCTATCTGAAACACCCAAATGATTCTATCTGAAACACCCAAATGATTCTATCTGAAACACCCAAATGATGCTATCTAAAACACCCATATGATTCTATCTAAAACACCCATATGATTCAATCTGAAACACCCATAAGATTCAATCTGAAACACCCCTATGATTTATAACCAAAAATGCAAAATTACTAAAAAGAACATTCTCTTGTGTCAAAAATTATGAAATATTCAGTAATTTTATTTAGAATTTTGTATTTGTGTTGTTTTATTGTTTTGTAGATGTACTTATATATTAGGTACATCACTGTTTGAGAGCTATGACAAACTGTATTACATCGGGTGTGGTTAGTCACAACTTATTAATCAAAACACATAGGCAGAGAAAATATACTTTGTTAATATTCCCAAATGAATATAACCCAACACACACTAAAGTTAATGTATTGTTCACAAAGTGTATTTATACCATAGTGAATGTACAGACCTTGAACACCTCATATAAAGATCCAGTAAAAATCTATCTAATATGTCAACCAATAATTTGTAGAGGTCAGCAACTGCACTAGTCTTTAAGAACCTGTAGTTATCTCCCCTTATTTCTCCTAACCAAACAACCAGATCCCCGTTTGCAGAAAATCAGTTTTCTGAATGGTTATTTTTCAGAGATTGGTAAAACCACTACATGACTTTACCTGCCACTTGGAATTGAACAAATACCCACTAATTAATTGTCAGCTGTGGGCTCCAGTAGATGAACGGCCTATCAGTATATAGACTATCCCCTTATCATATTTATGGAAAAGCGTTTGGAAAAATATTACATTTGAATCATGAGCTGCTTTTCATAAGTAAGACATGTAATTACCATTCCTCAGTGCTACTCTTACTGAATGTCTAACACTTATCAACAGATTTCATCTTATTAAGTGTGATAATTCATTGGCCAAAATGTTGTCATTTATCTGAGGTATGTATCGTTCATTACTGTTTTATTTCATGATGTTTATCGTACTGGCAATATTAATGATGATAATAAAAGAGTATTATTTATTACTAGGAAACGGACCAATATTGTTACCATGGTAACCTAACTTAGCAGGTGATAATTTATGCATGCTTTGTGTATAGAGAGACTACAGTGGTGCTTTCAAACTTAGTGTTCCAATGATACAAATTGATAAATGATACCATATTTCAAACTAGTAAACTCCAAGCCTATCTAAAGCATATTCTTCCTTCTAAGATTGGTAACTATCCCCTATTTCAACAATGACCAACTTGATAGAGTTTGCATGGAAATGTCATAAAGTTTACCATTTCAAATATTAACATAAATATTTTAACAAAATAGTTCCAAACAGTTCTGTGTGGTTGTGTTCAACATTTGTGAGTTGGTTTTGCACTTTTTCCTGCATGTAATGTAGATACCTCAAACATGAGGGTTTCAGTGTCACATGACTGTCATGTGACTGTGGCTTGATCATACTGCACTTCATGTCCTGCACCAATGTCCTGTTATTATCGTGACAAACACAAGTGTATTTTCTGTAGTAACAAAAATAGTTTTTTTGAAAACACAAGAATAGATGGGGCATAGATATTATCAAAAACAATTCTTTAAAAGGGGACAGTATCAAGGGCAATCTGTTTATATGTTATGGAATGTGTATAAACTTGTCTCCGATTATTGATTATCGCATGTGAAGTTTAAAATTTACAAATGTCTGCTAGTCTGGGACTAGTCAAATTCAAGATGGACAAGCAACATTTCTTTGTGCAATAAATGTTACAGACTTGATTCCTAGGACTGCAAAAGCATAAGTAAGGATAGGATTTATAGATGAACAACTTCTTTATTACAATTACCGGTAAGAGTTACTATGCAAAAGCATAGTACCATTGCATAATGTAAAAAAATGAGGCACATCAGAAGTTGTTGAGCAGCACCAACCCATCAAGGAAGGTATATTTTATTTACCTGCAGTAGTGATACTGTTTGTTTTCAGAGCAAAAATATTATGATTAGAGCTGTTATTTAATTATATAAAATGTGAAAACCTGAAAAAGGAATTATGTCTGATGGAAAACCTACAGACATGTAAACACCCAAACCCTCAAACTTAAGGAATTATTATTTTTATCCGACATCTTACCCAATGACTCCATCATTGATAGGTATGCAGTGATTGCGCTTCATAAAGAGTTAGATACAGAAAAGCTTCATTGTAATGTAAGTGGAAGAATGATATGGAATGCCAAAACAAGAATATCAAGATACACTATAGCTTGTCGATGGTGCCCATAAACCACTGTAACCTAGAACTTCCACAAAGCGATCTTAGCGCTAAGACTTTTCACTTGAACAATTGTACCTACTATACTTTAACATCAACCTATTATGATCACAGCACCAAGATGATCATAACTCCCATACTTTAACATTGCCTGATGATGATCTTAGTGCTAAGATAATCGTAACTCCATTGTTTTTCTTACAATTTCAATGCTCGTAGCACTAAGATGATAGTAATTCCCATATTTTAAGGTAGACTCACAATGATTGTAGCACTAAGATCGCTTTGTGGAACAGGCCCTGTATCACTGTCATGAATTTGGTCACCAGCATCACTGTTTGTGATAATAACCGACTAAAATGAGGATCAGTTGGCCAAAATGCCTGACCTGATTGTGTGTCGTCATATACCAAAGGCATGGATCAGCCATTGCTTATTCTGTCGGCCACATTTGTGCCGGCCCAGACTTCATATGGACCAGTGATATGGCTCAAATATTGCTGACAACTACTTAAAACAGCATAATCAGTTTACATCTTGAGAACAGGCTCATTTGCATATTGACCCTGCATTGTATACGTTTAATGTTAAAAAAAAGTTCAGCAAGAATTTTTGGAATTTGGAAAACATTGGTGTAGTAGCTTGTTGTAGATGCGGGAGCCATGTTGTGCATTGCTTGCTTTGAGTATCATGATGTGTTGGGGGATTGCTGTTCTTGTGTAGATATTATTGTTTGTATTTATAGCATTTGGCACCATGAACTTAAAGGTAATGATATTGTTAACAAGTCAATCAATATAGGTGACTATATGAGTTATGTTTCAATCATGAAATTTTGTTCAAAAATTTAATACTGAATAATTCAAATGTTCTCTCATTATGTAATTTCTCTTTGAATATTAAAAATCTGATCAATTTGTTTTCAAATATTTTCATGAAGGGGTTGTGTTTTCCAGAATCAGGAGCAGGATTCCGGTCCGTGAAGGCGCCGACAGCTCTCCCCGCAAGTCAGAAGAAACCCCAACAACCGTCCATGAGATGCGGGGGTTGTGACATGCTTGCTACGTAAGTGTGAATCTGTTGTACTACTTTCCTCAAGGAGCTTGTTTGAACATATACATCTATTTATGTACTTTTTAGGATAGTGAACTTGTAAAAAAGAGTGATCCCATGGTGATCCTAGGGACAAGCTACATATTCATGTGTCAGTGAATTTTCACACAAAATTGAAGCTTTTCTGATTTTTCATGACAAAATATGTTTAATTTCCCCCTTATTGAAAATCCTACATCAGTTCCTAATACTAGCATGTTGCAAATATGTCTAATATTGAGATTGGATAATTGCAATGTGTCACCTGTCATTGCACTCTCAGGGTGTCAATTGTTGCTTATGCCATCAACCATCAGTTTTCATAGTCCAGATTCAGTTACTGCTGTAGGTGATATGGCTTTCATATTGCTGACTCTGGCATTAAACAACAGTAACACACTCATCTTAAAAGCATTCTGTACTTTTAATACTATCTTCTTGAAAACTGTGTTTGTTGTACAAGCATTTTGTCTTGACACATAAAGAATGGCTATCTATAAATGATGAAATATGAAATGAAATATATTCTCCTATCTGTTCTCCAACAGGGGTGTGATTGTGAAAGCTAATGGAGTCCCTTACCATGTGGGCTGTTTCAAGTGTGCGGCATGTGGTATGAACCTCAAACAGAAAGGTACTATTTTCATCCAACCTCCTATGCTTGTCATACGACAGACAAATAAATTAGATAAGGAATTTGAAGTGGTATAGCACAGCAACTTCCTGAATAGATAGTAATATGGTAGGATGGTACTGCTGCTGCCATTGATGATGATGATATATATGTTATTTTAACATTAACTTCACATTTTCCTACATGTGGCTATATTTGTGTTTCAGGTTACTTTGTGGTTGAGGAGAAGCTGTACTGTGAGACCCACGCCAGACAGAGGGCCCAGGCTCCAGGGCCAGACATGGTGTCTGTACCTGTCTACAGGTGGGTGTGGTGTGAGTTTGGAGGGACCAGGGGTGGGGGTTCTGACTGGGTGTTTGTATCTGCATGTAAGACTTGTGGCAAAATTTAAACAAATTGATGAGAGTCTTTAAAAAGTTGTAATTCATGGTTTAATATTGATGACATTCATGTAATGATTTGGACTATTTGCAGAACTTGTACATTTCCATATTATGTATTGGTTAAATATATTTCATCTTTTAAGGAATAGCATGCATAATTTGTTTAGTTGATTTTACAATATATGCTTTAAAGATGTGCAAATATTTCACAATTCATATTTAGTTATATTTACATTGGGAATACTTTGGTTTTGCAGGTAAATATTTTGTGGAAGATGATCAAATTGTGTGCAAGAAGTCCTCCCAGACCAACTACCAGCCCGGCCTGTCATCCCTATTTCCTTCCATAGACTAACCAGTCATAGTAGATAGAAGAGTTCACTAGCAGATAATGGGGATGATAAGATGAAAAAGGCATTTCAATAGTACAGAAGCTAGCGAGACCTCAGCTTTAATCCCCTAGTTGTCTCCTCTATCTGCTGAAGTTAGACAGGGTTGTCATCAAAATCATCCTCATCCCACTTGAAGTTTGTTTACTCTGTTTTACTTTCATTCCTTGTGTTACAAGTATGGTACACCTGTTGACGAAGGGTGCCAAGAGATCTGATATTTTTGTCATTACATATCAACAAATTTTAGTTTGTTACAGACATTTTATTTGGGAAATCTGTTTTTGTTTGGGTTATCCCAACAATTGTTTTACGGTTGATACATTCAGGTAATATTTATGTGCACTGAAATCTTAGAAATTTCCTTATGTCTGGAGTCAACGACTGTTTCTCTATTAAATAGATTTGGCAATTATTTTACTAATCACAAATCAACAAATTCATTGGGGGCAGAGTTGAAAAAGATGAAGCTATGGTGAAAAAAAGAAGACTTTTTCATTTCGGGACAAATGTGCTAAATTATCTTTCCCAACAATTAGTTTTACCAAGGCCCTATTTTTCAAAGCAATCGTCAAAGTACCACTGTCAAACGCTTTTTGTAGCTCTGTGATTGCGTTGTGGAATTGTATTTTCACCCCCCTAACCCCTGATGAAGTGCCAGTGTATTTAACTGTTTACAATTATCAACATGACATATTTTAACTGCATTATTGTGGTTTGATATCTTTCATTCCATTATAAAAAGTAATTATTGTGCAAACTGGAAGATAAATTCAACAACTGCTAAAAACCTTGTTGACATAATTCATTATCATGTTCCACCGGCTCTATGCAGAGCCCTGTGAGTGTTAAGGGTTCACCTTGTTTTTTCCTGCGTTTTTGACCTGCAATTTGTTCAGAACCGAAGTTTTATTTTTTAGTTGTAAACAATGTTATGTTTATTTTTTGCTCAAACAACTTCAACAACTCTGATGGTGTCTAACTGTTTACACATTACTGGTTTGTGTTTTGTGATGCAGTGTTCAAGGAAATGAGTCCCGACAAAGATATGTTGATTGAAAGAAAACAACAAACAGATAAAAATAATCAGTAGGTCTGCTAACCCCAGGATGAAAGTTAATTGTACGTTTAGCAGGGTTTCAAATCCTCGCCTGCTTTTTCCCATCATCAGTTTCTAGTAAAGGGAAGTAACTCTAAATCCTAGTTGTGAATGGTTGTATTCCGGTACTTCATAGAAGGGATATAGACTTTATTAACAAAAGTTTGTTCTTACTAAGGGGAAATAACTCTGAATCCCGACCATGTGAACAGAGATGTGAGATAGTTATGATGTGTTATAAGTTATGATTGTTATTAGATGCATAATGTTGTATGCATATATTTATGGAGTCATAATGAAATATAAGATCTGACGTTTAAACTACTGTGATACAAGTGGTGATGATGTTTGTTAAGGGTACTACAGCAGTAATTCGAGACAGGGTAACACTGAAAATACTCTCTGAGTAAATCTTTTTTTATGGTATAAGATAAGTATTTCTGGTAATATAAATTCATATAAGGCCAGACCAATTTAATTACTTCCTTTTTATGTTTTATTTATCACAGGATAACTGAAAGCAAGAGTAAAAACAATTAAAAAGTCAATGAATATGTTTATCACTGTTTTTTTTTTGTATAATGCATACTTTTTTAGGTTTATTCGTGGGTTGAAAAATCTTTATTAAGGGAAGAGGCATGAACAAATTTGCCAAAATATTTGTAACTGTAAACATTAAGTTGGTCTGGCCTTAAAACTATTTCTTCATGTCGCTAATTAAAATCGTGCATAGTTTGTAGAAAGAATTTTGTAGTGAGGATCAGAATAACTAAAATTTTTATTTATTTGTCCATCTTTCCCGTCATGGTCATAATTACATTATATGTTTTCCAGTGGTCAACTCTCCTGTTTAAAAAGGTGCAATGTGTTATCCATTTGTGTGTATGTTTCAGTTTGCAAGATGTTTTAGCCTGGAATGTTATTTGCTAAATTTTGTACAAATGTTCTTAAAAAAATCTTTGATATAATTCTGTTATCTTGAAGTCTGGAGTCAGAGATTCTTTCATAATAGAAGTTCTATGATATTTTGTTAAAAAATATTTATGCATCCATTCTGGGTACTTACCAAAGAATACATTTAGGGAAATAAAGGTTTATTTTGGGTAGATTTATGTGTATTTAAGGACTAAGAGATGTGAGTATTTGGGCAATATGTAATATAAACAATATATTTATAATTGAAATTCATGTCTCTTGATTTTGATATTCATTGAAATTTTTTTAATAGTATTCATAGGTATATTTTTGTGACATAAATACTTACAATTCCAATTGGAAGAGTTACAAGGAAACATCTCCTGAACAGACTAGCATCTGCTAATGAGTTGAGCAGTTATAGCTATTGGCTATACGTATGCTGGTGGAGTGCTAACATTGGTGCTATAAACACAGGGTGGCTGTGTTCGGACGATAAGGGCCAGAATGTTCGACTGTATCTTAATATGGCAATAAAATGTGCTTTCTTCAGTTTTCAATTATGTTGGTGTTTCATTATTGCTCCTCTTTGAAAAGTGATTGAATATTGTTTAATGCAGTATTCCTCGTCATTTATAGCAGCCTATAAATAATCAAATCTGGTACAGACAAACCAGAGGTTGATATTCTGAGCTACATCCCACGTCCTTGGGTATGAATACATGCACGATCACCTAGTCTGACCTCCCAACCAAGCAATGTCATGCTTGGGCCTATTCTAGCAGGGGTGAAAAGCGTTCACTTGTCACCCCAGGATTCGATTCCCCACATAGGTACAATATGTGAAGCCCAATTCTGGTGTCCCCCAATGTCATAATTAGTGAGTGAGTTTAGTCTAAGGCTGCTTTGGTGTGTCAGCTGAATGATGCAGGTCATAGATGTTGATGTGATAGCCCTGAGCATGGGTATGGTGCTGACAAACCAAGAAACATAATTGGGAGAATCTAGGACCATGCCACGCTGTACAGTGAATTGTGGAGCCTGGATGGACTCATCTTCCTGAGGCAAGGAGTTAACCGACTATAAAAGTCCAGTTTCCACCCTCGTTTGAACAAGGCATATTTTATGGAGTTATATTTTGGCTGGATTAATGAGTCTCTGCCAGTTTGTAAACTGCCGTGCAGAATTCAGTTGATTGCAGGATTTTCAAATCATGTGTACCAACAACCAACCGTCAACAGATATTTTCCAAATCTTTTCATGTTTTTAATCAAGATGCTCATATAATTTGATGCACTTTGCAAAAAGATCTTGAATTGAATTGATCAGATCATCCTCACTGGGCAACACCACTTTATTTGAAGAAAATGCAATATGAGAGGTTCAATCTGATTAGTCAATAGGGAGGGACATAAAAGGGATATAACTCGTAATAGCCATTGGTGCGTTACAATCGAGCCTAGAAGTTCCAGCCCAGTTCGGCAAGGGTGGAAACTGGACTTTTACAGTCAGTTAACTTGGGAAGATGACTGGGCGACCCTTCGTTACCCTCGTAATGACTCCAGTTAGTTATGGCTGTTGAGGATGTATCCTGAAATGCTATAAAGTACAACGTCAGTAAACAAGAAGATACCGTTCCCAGTGAAATCATCCCGGATGACAAATTCCTGGATAAATGAATGATAGCTTTGCTCCGATATAAACTGCCTACAAATGTATATTCTTGAAAATTGGATTTGACTAAACAATTACAAACATTATCCAAATGTTACTGGGCTGAAAACACTGAAAACTTAAGGTCCAAAACACAACGATGATACCCCTATCAAATACATCACCATCGATTAACCCTTTCTTGTTTAAGTTTTAGCCACCATCAAACATGGGTGTATACTTTCATATGCCTGCCACTTTACATGTAAACAGTTCTTTCCAATGTGATCATCTGGAAGGCGGGGTTTTCAGACTGGAGCTGTACTAGCAAGGTTCCACTATCTATTAGTAAATCCTGCCCATAATAACTGCAAAATTGCTGACATGGATTTAGAAACTACCTTCTAACGCCTACAAGGGTACAGAGAAACATAAAACAAGAGCGTTCACAGTGTTTCAGTCAATGTTTTCACATCCTTCGGAAAAGGTTCCTGCACCCCATCTCCCCACTAAGAGGTATCAAGGATGCAGGTCTGTCTGATGAGAGGAAGGCCTGGAGTTATCTTGTCCTCAGGCTGTTGCTGAAGGTCTGTCTGTAGTGGGAGGAAGGCCTGGAGTAACCTTGACTTCAAGGTGTTGATGCAGGTCTGTCTGTAGTGGGAGGAAGGCCTGGAGTAACCTTGACTTCAAGGTGTTGCTGCAGGTCTGTAGTGAGAGGAAAGCCTGGAGTAACCTTGTCTTCAAGTTGTTGCTGCAGGTCTGTCTGTAGTGGGAGGAAGGCCTGTGTCATCTTGACTTCAAGGTGTTGCTGCAGGTCTGTCTGTAGTGGGAGGAAGGCCTGGAGTAACCTTGACTTCAAGGTGTTGCTGCAGGTCTGTCTGTAGTGAGAGGAAGGCCTGGAGTCACCTTGTCTTCATTGTGTTGCTGCAGGGCTGTCTGTAGTGAGAAGAACTTCTGGAGTCATCTTGACTTCAAGTTGTTGATGCAGGTCTGTCTGTAGTGGAAGGAAGGCCTGGAGTAATCTTGACTTCAAGGTGTTGCTGCAGGTCTGTCTGTAGTGAGAGGAAGGCCTGGAGTAACCTTGACTTCAAGGTGTTGCTGCAGGTCTGTCTGTAGTGGGAGGAAGGCCTGGAGTAACCTTGACTTCAAGGTGTTGCTGCAGGTCTGTCTGTAGTGGGAGAAAGGCCTGGATTAACCTTGACTTCAAGGTGTTGATGCAGGTCTGTCTGTAGTGTGAGGAAGGCCTGGAGTAACCTTGACTTCAAGGTGTTGATGCAGGTCTGTCTGTAGTGAGAGGAAGGCCTGGAGTAACCTTGACTTCAAGGTGTTGCTGCAGGTCTATCTGTAGTGGGAGGAAGGCCTAAAGTAACCTTGACTTCAAGGTGTTACTGCAGGTCTGTCTATAGTGGGAGGAAGGCCTGGAGTCATCTTGACTTCAAGGTGTTGCTGCAGGTCTGTCTATAGTGGGAGTAAGGCCTGGAGTCATCTTGACTTCAAGTTGTTGATGCAGGTCTGTCTGTAGTGGGAGGAAGGCCTGGAGTAACCTTGACTTCAAGTGTTGCTGCAGGTCTGTCTGTAGTGGGAGGAAGGCCTGGAGTAACCTTGACTTCAAGGTGTTGATGCAGGTCTGTCTGTAGTGGGAGAAAGGCCTGGATTAACCTTGACTTCAAGGTGTTGATGCAGGTCTGTCTGTAGTGTGAGGAAGGCCTGGAGTAACCTTGACTTCAAGGTGTTGCTGCAGGTCTGTAGTGAGAGGAAAGCCTGGAGTAACCTTGTCTTCAAGTTGTTGCTGCAGGTCTGTCTGTAGTGGGAGGAAGGCCTGTGTCATCTTGACTTCAAGGTGTTGCTGCAGGTCTGTCTGTAGTGGGAGAAAGGCCTGGATTAACCTTGACTTCAAGGTGTTGCTGCAGGTCTGTCTGTAGTGGGAGGAAGGCCTGGAGTAACGATGTGTTGATGCAGGTCTGTTTTTTAGTGTGAGGAAGGCCTGGAGTCATCTTGTCTTCAAGGTGTTGATGCAGGTCTGTCTAGTGGGAGGAAGGCCTAGAGTCATATTGTCTTCATTGTGTTGATGCAGGTCTGTCTGTAGTGAGAGGAAGGCCTGAAGTAACCTTGACTTCAAGGTGTTGATGCAGGTCTGTCTGTAGTGGGAGAAAGGCCTGGATTAACCTTGACTTCAAGGTGTTGATGCAGGTCTGTCTTTAGTGGGAGGAAGGCCTAGAGTAACCTTGACTTCAAGGTGTTGCTGCAGGTCTGTCTGTAGTGGGAGGAAGGCCTGGAGTAACCTTGACTTCAAGGTGTTGCTGCAGGTCTGTCTGTAGTGGGAGGAAGGCCTGGAGTAACGATGTGTTGATGCAGGTCTGTTTTTAGTGTGAGGAAGGCCTGGAGTCATCTTGTCTTCAAGGTGTTGATGCAGGTCTGTCTAGTGGGAGGAAGGCCTGGAGTCATCTTGACTTCAAGGTGTTGCTGCAGGTCTGTCTATAGTGGGAGGAAGGCCTGGAGTAACCTTGACTTCAAGTTGTTGCTGCAGGTCTGTCTGTAGTGGGAGAAAGGCCTGGATTAACCTTGACTTCAAGGTGTTGATGCAGGTCTGTCTGTAGTGTGAGGAAGGCCTGGAGTAACCTTGACTTCAAGGTGTTGATGCAGGTCTGTCTGTAGTGAGAGGAAGGCCTGGAGTAACCTTGACTTCAAGGTGTTGCTGCAGGTCTATCTGTAGTGGGAGGAAGGCCTAAAGTAACCTTGACTTCAAGGTGTTACTGCAGGTCTGTCTATAGTGGGAGGAAGGCCTGGAGTCATCTTGACTTCAAGGTGTTGCTGCAGGTCTGTCTATAGTGGGAGTAAGGCCTGGAGTCATCTTGACTTCAAGTTGTTGATGCAGGTCTGTCTGTAGTGGGAGGAAGGCCTGGAGTAACCTTGACTTCAAGTGTTGCTGCAGGTCTGTCTGTAGTGGGAGGAAGGCCTGGAGTAACCTTGACTTCAAGGTGTTGATGCAGGTCTGTCTGTAGTGGGAGAAAGGCCTGGATTAACCTTGACTTCAAGGTGTTGATGCAGGTCTGTCTGTAGTGAGAGGAAGGCCTGGAGTAACCTTGACTTCAAGGTGTTGCTGCAGGTCTATCTGTAGTGGGAGGAAGGCCTAAAGTAACCTTGACTTCAAGGTGTTACTGCAGGTCTGTCTATAGTGGGAGGAAGGCCTGGAGTCATCTTGACTTCAAGGTGTTGCTGCAGGTCTGTCTATAGTGGGAGTAAGGCCTGGAGTCATCTTGACTTCAAGTTGTTGATGCAGGTCTGTCTGTAGTGGGAGGAAGGCCTGGAGTAACCTTGACTTCAAGTGTTGCTGCAGGTCTGTCTGTAGTGGGAGGAAGGCCTGGAGTAACCTTGACTTCAAGGTGTTGATGCAGGTCTGTCTGTAGTGGGAGAAAGGCCTGGATTAACCTTGACTTCAAGGTGTTGATGCAGGTCTGTCTGTAGTGTGAGGAAGGCCTGGAGTAACCTTGACTTCAAGGTGTTGCTGCAGGTCTGTAGTGAGAGGAAAGCCTGGAGTAACCTTGTCTTCAAGTTGTTGCTGCAGGTCTGTCTGTAGTGGGAGGAAGGCCTGTGTCATCTTGACTTCAAGGTGTTGCTGCAGGTCTGTCTGTAGTGGGAGAAAGGCCTGGATTAACCTTGACTTCAAGGTGTTGCTGAAGGTCTGTCTGTAGTGGGAGGAAGGCCTGGAGTAACGATGTGTTGATGCAGGTCTGTTTTTAGTGTGAGGAAGGCCTGGAGTCATCTTGTCTTCAAGGTGTTGATGCAGGTCTGTCTAGTGGGAGGAAGGCCTAGAGTCATATTGTCTTCATTGTGTTGATGCAGGTCTGTCTGTAGTGAGAGGAAGGCCTGAAGTAACCTTGACTTCAAGGTGTTGATGCAGGTCTGTCTGTAGTGGGAGAAAGGCCTGGATTAACCTTGACTTCAAGGTGTTGATGCAGGTCTGTCTTTAGTGGGAGGAAGGCCTAGAGTAACCTTGACTTCAAGGTGTTGCTGCAGGTCTGTCTGTAGTGGGAGGAAGGCCTGGAGTAACCTTGACTTCAAGGTGTTGATGCAGGTCTGTCTGTAGTGGGAGAAAGGCCTGGAGTAACGATGTGTTGATGCAGGTCTGTTTTTAGTGTGAGGAAGGCCTGGAGTCATCTTGTCTTCAAGGTGTTGATGCAGGTCTGTCTAGTGGGAGGAAGGCCTGGAGTCATATTGTCTTCAATGTGTTGATGCAGGTCTGTCTGTAGTGGGAGGAAGGCCTGGAGTAACGATGTGTTGATGCAGGTCTGTTTTTAGTGTGAGGAAGGCCTGGAGTCATCTTGTCTTCAAGGTGTTGATGCAGGTCTGTCTAGTGGGAGGAAGGCCTGGAGTCACCTTGTCTTTAAGGCTTTGCTGCAGGTCTGTTTGCAGTGTGAGGAAGGCCTGGATTCATCTTGTCTTCAAGGTGTTGCTGCAAGTGTGTCTGTGGTTGTAGACTGCCGTGCCTACCCTTCCTCTATTTCAGTTTCATTCTCAGCTGTTTTATTACCTTTCTACCAAATATACAAACATTGTAATGTAAACCATCTGTAATCTTTTGAATACCTATCCTCTGCCAAATTGATTACCTACACAATTACAGACAAACTCTCTTTCATCCAAGTTAGATATGCTCACTCTACAGAATCCAAATCTAATCTCTAAACACTCCTGAGGTCACTCCTCCGAATAGGGTGTTTTAGATAAAGCAAACTGATTTCAAAGGCCCCTTTGTGTTCGTCATACCAGGGGTTATCAGCGATTATAACTGACATTGTTTTTCTCTTGAACAGTAAGTGTAATATGCATTGGTTCCACAGAGGATCTTAGTGCTGTGGCTGTCGTAACTCTATGTTAAAGTACAGAAGTTTCAAGTGTCTTAGTAGAAGGAACCAAACCGTGTTATTGGATGTGGTTGTCAGGAGACAGTCGAGACAAGGTCTCATCAAATTAATGAAAATGGTCGGGAAACATTGTACTCTGTTGCCGAGGGAGGGGGGAGAGTGTCATGAAAAGCATGAACAAGTCTGTAGAGGGGGAGGGTGTCATAAATAATGGTCATTTCTTGGAGTCCTTCTGTGCGTGTGGTGAGCCTGTATATGACGAGTCTGGCACCGCATGTTAAGATACTGCTATATACTCACTCTGGCATTCCGTTTGGCAGGGAGGTGGCATCAAAAACAGGTGGAATGCAAAGTAAACAGATTAATCACAAGAGTGATACATCTAAACACAAGGATCTCTGTTGTTTTCGTTGGAGATTTTAAATCTGTGATGTTGACAGTTAATTAATAGATGATGAATGCATAAATCATTAAAAAGACGGCAGGAAGATTTCTTTTTTAAAATGCCGTTATTTGTAAGATACGCATATGTTTAAGTGTCCTGGGGTAAGTTTGGTTGTATGAGATCCCTGGTCGACAGGAGCACCAGGAAAAGCTGTCCTTGTAGGCCCGAGTAACTAGGTCATGGTGCTGTTGGTGAGACCTTCATTCAGCCTTGCGTGTTTAGAAGAAAAGGTACGTGTGGATTACTCAAGTTGTTTATAGGTGTATAGTTCATTCACTGTGATTTATCAGGCACACACACACACACACACACACACACACACGCGCGCACGCACGCACGCGCGCATGCCCGTGCTCATGAGTTTCACCACAGTTGAATGAGGGTTATGAGTTCTACACACGTCTATGGCCTAGTCGTTCGTGTGGAGAGTTGCATCCCTTTTGGCAAGCCAGAAACCTATGATCGTGGGTTCGAATCCCGGTTCACCCCGATTGTTTCAGCACTATATCCGCTGCCGTGGGTTTCACCAAAGTAAACGTCTGAGAGCTGCATCACTTTGAGCTTCCTCCTTAAACTGACTCGCCGTCAGAGTGACGGCACCTTATCGCAAGCACACAAAGTCAGCCATCACACACCCACTGATCCACCGAGGCTTCCACAAAAAATGATAACTGGTAACCTAGATCAAGTATTTGGTGTACCCCTCTGATAAGTGTAAATTGGCACGGTTCCCATGACCGAAAGCTTTGAATACACAATGCCTTTAACAAAGTGTTAAAATGTAACAAATGTTATATTTGGGATAACTCTTTCTTAGTAAAGTACAAAATCCAGTACTCTGAGAGTGGGGGTTCGAATCCAGAATTGAAATCAACCCCCCAAAAGTACAGGAATTTGTACTTTACTAAGAAAGTGTATCACATATAACATTTGTGAGAATATGAACTTTAAGTGATTAAAGAAATATTATAATGATCTAAGTACAATTAGAAACATTGATGACGACTATTATAACTACGTTACTATTCCTAACAAGGCGTGGACAAACAAGATTTTAACTGATGTTTATTTGATACCATTACAGCTCGTTTCCATTACTGCACGGTGGCACTACTATGAGAAAATCGGGTATAATGTTCTCCCTATTCCACCTAACGATGCCCAACGCCCACATATCGTATATTAACGATTTAATGCCAGAAGAGTATGTTACATATTCTTAGGTCGTATCTTCAATGACATATACCCTACCAGCGCATACCGACAACTGGGCTTGGGTAATGTATGGTGACGTCACGCTGGGGTATTATGTTGGTATCGCCCAGCGTGGCGCGTGCCAGGGCCAGGAACCCATTCACATGTGTGATACTGATATCTTTCTAATGGAATCAAGCGATTTATTGCACTAAGGGGTACTTTACCCCCTCCCCTCGAACACTCGGGCCCCCTAATAATATAACCATTAACTTAATGCAAATGCTTATTAGCAGGGGGTCTGTATAGCTCGTCTCCGTTATAATCCCTGTTATTACGTGAACTTTGTGTTGCTTACCTGTACTGGTCTAACCTTCAGTGACATATATTGTGAAGTACGTCATTCGGACCTACCGTTGATGTGGTACGTTGAAAACGGGTTTTCATCTGTAAAGATATCTTGTATTAAAGGTCACGAAAATGAACACTAGAATGGCCTCTAAATAAAAAACAAATATAAATACAACGTGCCTCGAAAGTTAAAGTCGTCTTGGTCACGTAGTTCGACATGATTCACCCATGCAAGTTGTTTTAGGACGTGTTGTTTTATTGTTATTGTTGTTGGTATGGTAAAAATAATATAGTTTGTGTAAATGATAACAACATTTTCCATGCAGTCATCCTTAATCGTACACTGCATGGAGCAGTCTCTTTTATTATTATTAATTGTAAAGACATTTAACGAATGTCTCATATTATCTTACGAAGCCTTGTTAAAAAACGTTTCCTGTGTTTGTCATGCAGTCGTTACGCACCAGGGACGAAGGAAAACACATCACAGACTATTGATATTTCTTTTCTGTTGGTACCAAAGACTGATTCCACTGTATTTTAATCGTCTCCGCTAATTATCTTTACCGAGGGGCAGTGTCGCTGAGGGCCCACTCGTCAATCTGACTCTTTCTGTGCTTACATAATAGTAACCGGATTAACCCCGTTGCTAATGGATCCATATGAACCGTCTTAAAGAGGGATTCCATGGTCTAATAGACAATTTCTAATGAGTGCCATGTGTAAAAATTTAACAGTGTCTCGGTGTAATTTGGGTTATCGAACACCTCAATGTCGATATACATAATAAAAAGCTGAGTTAGCATGCAGGCAAAAGGGTCAAGAATACCTTTACCTTTTGTTTAATGAAGCTTGCTTGCTTGGACTACCGCGCCTTAAGTGCCCCTATAACACAGTATAAATCTATCGTCTATTTTAAAGGTCACAGAGCATACAATGCTATTTTAATCACCCCTATTCAATACTTATCCCATCCTCAGCTCTAGCGGCCAATACCCATCCTAGTCTCTGACTCAAGCTCTAGCTCTCCTGACATTAAGAGACTTGGGTGTCAATTATACACGAGGGCTCCCTTGCAGAAGTATAATATATTTAGCCACATGCATCCCTTTATTTCAGGGATTACATTTAAATCTAGGTATAAACCCAACTATTTCTGTAATACGGAGCCGACAATGTATTATCCTAAGTATGTGGCGTTTTTTTCTTCTTCTAAAAATAGAATAATATTGCTTGCTGCCACTAATTCAAAACATCAACATATTTTTTCTGAACACCCAGCATGTCCAGTCTAAAAAAACAAGTCAGGACATCATATAGTTGTCTAGTATAACCTACAACCCATCCCCAAACCCTAACACACACACATACACACCCTTCCGTCCCCAATGATCGGTCCGTTACCTCCAACTTTTTTACATGAAAAGCTACAGAACACATGTTCGTTTTCCATACAGTTCACAGCCCTAAACACAGCCCGGCATATCAGCACGAGCACAGTTGCTACAATCGCAGTGTCTACATACACATGTACATTATTTGTTCTTGTTGTTTACTGAAGGAAACGGACCGCGGCTGCATCCGACCATGGTCGTTGATCCACTGGGTCTGTATCCGTCTATGGTCCCGCGCATGGCACATTCAGTACAATTAATGAACGCGGACCAGGTGTAGATTAATATAGTGCGTGACTGTTTTATTGTGTGGGATCCGTCAGTGTTATACAACCCCAGTACAGATATGTACACACGCAATGTACCAATATACATGTCTATATACTGAATGAAAGGTATCTTCCAGTTTGCCATTCAGATCGTTTGTCAGAGAGCTTCAAATATAATGTTATAGGATTTGTTTTGGTGAAATTATATTACATTGGGCATTATTAAAATACATTCATTAATACATCCCGACACTCTTAAAAATTACAATAATATTGGATTTGTTAGTATGTTGTGAGTGGTGAGTGGTGAGTTGCGTGCGTGCGTGCGTGCGTGCGTGCGTGCGTGCGTGCGTGCGTGTGCGTCTTCTTGTTTATATATCAATCGTGTCGAGGCTCTGGCTACCCTTTTTCACTGAAACATATCGAGTGTTTCTTTTACTTACGAACTCAATTGGAATCCCAACTTGCGGGTTTAGTCAAAGGTGTAGCGTTCGATGTTTTAAAAGTCTAATTTGGTTTCTGTTCAGTCTTCATTCCAAACTCATCCCCGATGGATTCCCGAAAAAAGATTGTCATGGTGTACAACAAATAGATCACTATCTATATCAGCGTGTATATGTGGAGCTAATAACTACACACTCCCTGGATCGTTTGTAATGTTTAGTTAAAATGTCAGGAACACAGGGCCAGAGTTTAAATTGTGAATAGAAAAATTTCATTACTCACACCACCACACGACTCTCTACAGTGCGAGACATATTCACTGGTGAACCTGTAATATGTCGATGGCTTAATATTTTCAACGAAAGACAAGTGTTTGAGATTAGAATAAAGTCGTCGTTATCAGATGTAAAGTGAGGTGAGGTGAGGTGAAAATGGGGTTTAACGTCGCGTCGCGTTCAAGATTATTGTACTTATATAACGACGTTTACGCGTGTGTGTGTGCTTGTACTAGTCCGTAATAATGCCGGCTTTAAAGTGCTAGCCCACTGAGATACCATGTCGCAGTTTAACATGAATACCTCACTCAGACACAGTATAAACGCAGTGACCCATTATTTATAAATTAAAGTCATTCTCTTATACAAGCCTTTACTTAAATGATTCATATTTAAAGTACAGCATTGCATATAAATCATACAAGACGAATAAGTTCTTTGATATCCTTACTTAAGACGAATAAGGATTAAGTTTATGATGTTTTTTTCTCCTTTAAGTGAGTGATTCAAAAAGTAGATAGAAAAGTATATATTCTTAATCTGAATAAGCACTCTGATAACATAAATCATACTCATACAGTGACCATGCAGTGTTAAGTGAACAAAAATAACTAAACGCGTATCAAAAATCACGTACGTGTATTTGTTGTATACCAAAAAACATTATTTAAATAACTTTCTTAGTAGTTTAGTTTTATACAATTCGAAACCGATTTATTTACGAACGGGGCTTTTTTATTACACACACAAACTACCTCTAAGCTATATGCCGAGACTGATAAATCCGATAAGATTATACTTCCTTACATTGTAGCAATTACATATTCGCGTCATGTGAATCACATTTCTGTGGAGTGTAGAATTGTTGGAACAAGGAGTATGTCAGAGTTACCCCCCTTCCTTTGTGAGATTCCGAGTTTCGTTATGAACTGATTCCTTTGAAGTAATACCATTTGATGTAATTTTGCTCATTTATGTTATTGTGTATTAAGTATGGTGTCTGTAATCGATACTCTAACGTAATCTGATCAGTGATATAATTTTGATTAATCTTATCCACTATTATCCGACCCAGCTTATAGGTGTGCTGCGTGCCGTGTGCAAAGCTGAGTCAGTGGACTTTACCGGCTCGTGTGTTGTGTAGTCGGGCCTTCATTCGGGAAGGAGTGGGAGCGAAGGGATACCCTCAGTAGATTATAGTTGCTGCTACAACTGAACTGTCAAAATGTCCGTGCTTACTCTAGAAGCCAAGCTAGAGAGGACGGATAAAGGAACGCCATGGGGCTTTCGTATGCAAGGAGGCAAGGACTACGCGAGCCCCTTAACCATTCAAAGAGTGAGTAACAATACGATTTTAAAACTTTGACATGAGAGTGAGACGAGTTGTTTTCGTGGTCGTATGACTACTAGAGCGTCAAAACGGTCTTTTCAACTTCAGTAACAATGTACACTGTGTCTCCACATCCCTCATCTGGTAGATTTCTTGCCACAAGTTCGTGTGGGGTAGATGTGTAAGTTAAATCCCTGGTTATTGGCACACGTGTAGGTGTGGATCGATTGTTTACTCTGTGAGATATCCCATGTCACTCGTCAACTGTCAGTTAAATTCACGTTTATATTACGTGTCATTACACTCGTAATATACTGAAATGTCACACGCCTTGCTTGTTTGAAATTCAAATCCACCCCGTTATACGCGAAGTAAGCTACCTCCTCGTGTAGCTTTCGGTTCGAGGTCATGAAAGGCGGCTCCTTTGAAGTTTTGATTATCGTCGCGTACTATTCAAACAATTAATGCCATAAATCTGTTACTTGCGTGTCACGCGCTGGGGAGAAGATAATGAAAGTTATAAAACTGTTGCTAAAGTTTGTATAACGATTGCTGGTTAAATATGTTGAATTATTTTCATTGACAAATAATGTTGAGCCTACTGAGTGTCCACAGATAGTTGTAATTGATGCAATATTACAAGGTCTTCCTTGAAACACCAGTGTGACCTTGAATGTGTAAATCTACTCCCAGTACTCTGTCTGTTCGGTGTTTCCATGCAAGATATAAATAACATCCACACAGGAATCAGAAAACAGCGAAACATGTGGGCAAAGTCTGCCAGTAACACTCCACCTCCCAAAACCTACCATTTATGGTAGCTGGATTCCTCTCATAACTGCTCCTATTTCACATGGCTAACCTGTCCCCCCTTCTTGTAGGTTACACCCGGGAGTCTGGCAGCTAAGTGTGGCCTTCAAGCGGGAGATATCATTCTGAAAATAGGGAATGCTGCTGCTGAGCCTTTGAGGCATAAGGAAGCTCAGGACATCATTGTAGCCTGCCCTAACAGATTGGACCTGCTTCTGCAAAGGTAATAGATTTGACAGCTCAGCACAGAAAATGTATTTTCCCTGATCCAATAAAACACTGACCCATAATACTCTAATGATACACTTTTCAACAAATGCAGCTAAAACATATAAGCAGATATATATATGTAGATAGTTGACGTAATCATGTTAATTAAAAGAACAAAATCTTACTTTTATTAAATCTTTAAAAATATTTTTTGTTATGTTTTTAAATATTTTTGAAAATGTTTAAAATATTTGTTTGTTTCACCTCAAATAGATCAACATTATAATACAACATAAGCACAGCTGACAGATATGTCACAACAATGTACTTTGACACATTCCATTACTTGTGACAATGTCAGGTTTAGCACACTACAACATGGCTGAAAGCAACAGTAAAATGTTATGTGAATCTCCCACACAAGGGCCCAGGTGACATTCCATATGCTTGTGTTGTCTACAACGACATGTTCACAACACAAGGGCCTACAGCATGTACTTGATGCACCCTTCTTGCATGTCAGGGAAACCTGGCAAATAGCCCCGGTATTTAAACATTCTTTTTCACTTCAGTTTCTTAGTTATGCTACAAGACTTAATCATGAAAGTAGTTTTTAAGTTGCAAAATCGAGTGCAGTGTAAATAAAATAGACATTCTGTCGTGGGGTGGTTTACACTGAGGTATGAAACAATAATTCAAAATTTGCTCTTTGTGGAAACTCAGGGATTGTGTTTCTTAAAGATAAACATATCATTTAACAAGAACATGTGTGCACAGTAAATATCTATTCCCTGTGTGTGCTAATTCATGTATTATTCAAAGTGTAAAGAAATTATTTTCATTGTTATTTGATTATATTCGATTTAAATTTGAAAATATCTTGCATTTTGAACTCTCTATTAGTTTAAGTGGTTTGTCTACAGTGTTAATTAACATACAGTAGATATAATTAATCAGATCACTGAGATTATGATCAGGATTGAATTATGTGACCTGATACAATGTAACAATGCAGTGGTGGTATTGAATATTATGTAACATGTAATCTCACATCAGTGAGGGATCATATTTATCTTCAGATTGAAACATTGGGAAACAGTACGATAGGTAAAGGGTGTGATATATATATATATATATATCTCACACACACACACACACACACACACACACACACACACACGGAGAAGATCTGGGTTAGAAGATGTCTTCAGTAACCAATGCTAATCATAAGAGGCGACTAATGAGATCAGGTGGTCAGGCTCGCTGACCTGGTTTAATGCATGTCATTGTATCCCCATTGCATGGATCGGTGCTCGTTATGTCAATCACTGGATTGTCTGGCCCAGACTTTATTATTTACAGACCACTGTCACAAAGCTGAAATATTGCTGAGTGCAACGTTAAACAACAAATAAACAAACAAACCGACATATTTTCTAAGTTCAGTTTTTAAGAAAACAAAAAACATGCGCCTTACAAGATCCAGGTCAAGCAGCTAGGGAAGATATGAGTGTGTTAAACATACACAGGGGAAATCACTGTACACTTACTTGTTAGTGGAATAAGGGTCTCTGAAATCCTCAAAGTGAGGAACAGCTAACTGCATTCCAGTCCCCCCAAAACTCCTGCTATCAGCAGGGGTCCTCTTGCCAGCTTCCCCGGGGTGTCACATCTGATTAATGACCACAAGCTCTTCTGTAGCAGACGACATGTATGTGAGTCCAGAAAATAATTGTCTTCTTTTAGAATATTGATATTTGGTTATTTTAATCTACTTTCGAAACATTTAAATGTTCTGCAGATTAAAAAATAGATATTGGTCAACTTGTAGACAACCCATTTAAATTTAAATTTATTGTGCGTAACATAATGGCCTTATTAATGCTTTCAAAAGCAGGCAAGACATATTACAAAGTATAACTCTTTTGCCATGAAACATTTATCTAGTCAGTTGTGTACGAAAATATCAAAATTACATTAGACATTGATGAATAATTAAAACAAATGTTATTACCTTCAAAACGTTTTTCAAAGAGTTGATTTGGTCACTGTAGTTTCACTGTTTTGTCTTGGAGTGTTATGTTTCAATCCTTGAGTGTCAAGCTGGCCCATGCCATCAGTGCCCTAAAGTAAACAAACTTGGACCAGCTTGACCGTGCCTGTTTCACTGGAGCAGGGGAACAACTGATAAGATCATGGCTAAAGAGTATCAGATTCAGTGAGAGGGGGGCTGCTGACAGGGAGAGTTTGGGCTTATGCCACTAAGTGTGTAGGAATATTGGCTGAGCAATGTTAAACAGTCTGAGACAGCAAGTTGGAAGGGATTTGGCAGCATTCCCTTCATCTGTAGCCAGTTACCATGGCATGTGTACAGCCTGGCTGAAGTGAATGCTAATGGTTAGAGCCGGCTGCGGAAGGTGAACTGCCATGCCCAGTGAGGCAGATGCAGAGGATGTTAACATGCTCTCAAGTAGGAGATAGCAAAGGTAGATGGGAATTGAAGGAAGGAGAAAAACAGAAACTCTCAGTCCACTGGGTGAACAGGAAGAAGGAAATTCTTTGCCGGCAACTTTTGTTGGGAAAGTGAATCGAAAGCGAATCACACACTAATTGTGAGAAACTTTCGAAATTAATATTAAGTGGTTGTTGCAGTACTGAAGGGTTTTGGCATGAAATGGTCGAATTACATGGTAAGGAAGTATTCGTTTTGGAAAGTTGAGATGATATTCTTTATACTTGTTCCAGGGCTACGTTTTCCTTTAGTTTCCTTGATTCCAGATGTGAGAACAGTAGAAGAGGAAAGGTTCTTTTAAGAATAAAATCAATTATTTTAAAGAAATATTTTCATAGACTACGTTTTAGTCTAGCCTAAGACATGCATCACTTTGGGCTTTCCTCCCATGTCATGATGTAAATGAATACTGGTCAAAGTAGCTGTAACCCAAACACACTCACTCACCCATCAGAGCTCCTTTATATCTTCATTGGACAAACAATCATAGGACAAAGCCATGTGTGTTGTTTATTGTCTATATTTTCCTTTGTTTATTTAATTTATGATAAAGCAGTGTATGTTTTGTATACACAGGTTAGACATAGCACCAGGACAGTGTTTATCAGAGATGGATGAGTGGCGGTAACTGGATGCCACAGTGTAGCAAGTGTGTTAGCCCAACAGTTTACACTGTGGGAGACATTAGGGTCAAGCTGTGAAGCTTGGAGATGATAGGGCTGGGTGGGTCTCTGACCTCTCCCACAGGGAGCAGATAGGCTGCTAATGGAATATGTCAGGTACTGGAAGACCAGGGGATAGTGATACAGACCACTTGGGCTATCATGATGTACAGACCATGCACCAGCAACCCAAGGTTGACACTGACTGTACAGGCTGATCCTATTTCGTACTTCCTAAAGTAAATATTACAATGTCAAAATCGGTATGGTCAGTCACTGTGTTTTTATAGTCATGGAGGTTGGGAGATAACAACTTGAGAGAAAAATCAGTTCCGTGTCTCAGCTGTTTTGTCAATCAATTTCGAAGGGAAACTTTTATTTCTTTTATTGTTTTTACAAAGAAGGACCTATTACATAAAATGTGCTCCTACCCAAAGTAGCAGAAAGCCCATGACATACATCTTCCCGAGGCAAGAGAGTTAACTGACTATAAAAGTCCAGTTTCCACCCTTGCTGAACTAGGCTGGAATTACTGGGCTCGATCAGAGCGCCACCAGTGGCTATTACCAGCTATGTCTCTTCTAAGCCTCTCCTATGGACCAATGAGATTCCACCTCTCACATCACTTGCGTTTGTTTCACACAAAATGGTGGCGCCGAGTCAGGACGATCTGATCGATAATCAAGATCTATATTGTGATAAAACGGGTCTTATATCGCGAAATGCATCAAATCACGTGAGCACCTTGATTAAAAACATGAAAAGATTTGGAAAATATCTGCTGACAACAAGTTGGCGGTTCACATGCTTTGCAAATCCTGCAATCGACCAAAATCTGCATGACAGTTTACGAACTGGATTTCGATTTCAGCGCGCGATTTTGATTGGACAATGCATAGACTCGTTAGTCCAGCCAAAACCTAACTCCATAATACCAGCCTAGTTCGGCAAGGATGGAAACTGGACTTTTAAAGTCAGTTAACTCTCTTGCCTCGGGAAGATGATGACATATAGTACAACTTATCAGTACATTTTAGTGGGGTTTTTTTACAGAAAATAACATACTTCTCACTCACACATTCACTCTAGTAATCGAAGGGAAACTTCATTTGTGAATGAATTTCTGTGTAGATTTTAGGCTAAACAATACAATTAATAACAAAACTTGTTATTTTTAGTTTTACTCAATACACCGGAACAGAAAAAATATTTCAATATGTATCATTTGAAAAGTGTATTGTAGTATCATGAATAACATCCACTCCTAGTAAACATGGTTTCTTTGAGGTAAGGCTATGGTGCACTGACAGGGTAACCTTGAGCCTCACTTGTCTTCAGCCAACAAGGGGAGGGAGGGTGACATTTGAAACAGATCAGCCCTCCTCCCGACCCCAGCAGTGGGGCTGCTTACTGTACACCTGACCCTGAGGTCATCACTTGTAGGGGGAATATATATGGTCAGTCAGCAGAATATCTTCAAGGAAATATTTGAGTACTGCGTTATAGATCTAGCACTTGACATTTAGCTGGAATGTATGGAACAGCCGTTTCAAAGATGGAAATAGTTAACCTAGACAAGTATTATCAGATAATGGTAGTAAAGATGGGGTAGACTGAGAATTTGGGCTGAACATGTCTGTTTTGTACAATAACATATTTTTTAAGTCATTTGAGTTTGGGCTTGGATTGAAATTGGCCTTGAGCCTTACTTCAAAACAATTTATGTCATTTAACACCCCACGGGGATTCAGGGTCATAATATATTCAAAACGCTCCATGCTTATTGTAAGAACTGACTTAGATAAGTAAAATGGTGATTTGGTGTATACAGTCGGTGCT